TGTTTTTGTTGCTTTTCAACAGTTTCAACGACTTCATCAGTAGTATATTAATCCTTGCCTCTACTTCTGTATGTTCTTATGTTGGTATTGTAAGTTTTTCTTTGTGTTCTGCAGTATAATAATTCACACTGGGTAGATTATTGTGGAAAACCCAATCGTTATACCTTATACCACTGATTTATGGTGATGTCGGGGATGGTTTATACTTGAATTTACTAGAGTAATATCATCATAGGTGCTTATTCTGCATCCTCCTATTCGATTGTGGAAACCTAGTGTCAGTATATGTCTCTTGTTCTCTCCTCATCACTTCTTTTAAACACAAACAGTTTTGACACTATAAAAGTTAAATCCCATTACTTCTCAACTGACTCAACTTATAGGCTCCGCTTTTAAGATCGTGATATTGCAAACACAGTTCTTTAATCCATTTGTATAAATCAGGTTTGTAGTTGGGTTTTTTCCCTTAAATTTAGGATGTAGTAACTTTCAGCTTTACTTGGAAATTTATTCAAGGCTACACTGTCATTGAGGTTAGGTGTTTTGCCTCCATATTCTGCTTGACAATTTGCTGATTCCCTAAGGTGCTTAAAGAATATTAATATATATATATATATAATTTTATATTATATTACATTTTTATATATATTATATTATATTATAGTATATTATATTAGAGTATATCATATTATGGTATATTATATTATATAATCTTATATTTATTATTTGATATTATATTATACATGCTATTATGTTATTTCAAATTATATCATATTATATCATATTATATCATATTTATATCATATCATATTATATTATACTTTATTATTTTATATTCTATAGTATTTATATGTGTATGTATCTACCATAGACCCAGCAGGTAGACTCATGAAATAAAGGAACCTAGCGGTTCCAACAGCAGGTGAACGAGACGGAGAAGATTCCGGAGATTGGGAAGTCGTGATGGACTCAGGTGGAACAGGTTGAACTAGCCTTGGATACGATTTCCTCAACCCAGAAATATTTCTATCTACTCATTAACTCTTAGATGGTTTCTATCCATCTACAGTATCTGTAAAAAAATCATCTAAGTATCCGTCTATCCAGCTACGTATTTTTTCATTTCAAGATCCATTTTTCCATACACAGCATTTCACTATGTCATCCCCCGGAGTCCATACGATCTCAGACATGCAGCTTGGGAAGAGCATCAGCGAATTCTTGGGTGTGTGGACAAACCCAGATATGGTACTGGTCATATGTCTCTATTTTTGTTGGTTGTGTATATATATATATATACATACATGCATATACATATCCCTAATTTTTACTGCGTAGAACTGCTATTTTTGATGGATAAGAAAGGTGATTTGATGGCTTTTGATAGTCACTTTTCTGGCGAAGAAATGCAACTTTTCTGGTTGCATATTTTTTTCTTGAGGTCAAGTGATGTTGAATCTCCATTTTTCATGGTGATATTCATATTATTCATATTCATATCATGTTCCACCCCATTTTCCAGTACGTGAAATCCCCATTTTTTCCTGATCAAATCCTGTTTTTCTCCCCATGTCGGCTACCCGAAAAAGTCTGCCAAAAAGGAACCCTCCCAGTTGGTGGCCGGCCTCACTGGTGCGGCCTTGGCCTACTGGGCCTGGAACAGGTCAGATTTGGTACTGGCCCAGTACGCCGTACTGGGGATCTAGTGGGGATATCGTGGTTTTAGCGGGATAAACATATATAAATTTGTACTATATAAAATGTATATTTATATTTAACTAAATTTAAATAATATAACACATATATGTATATGTAAATATTTCAGATAAAATAGAAATATAATATAATATAATATAATAGAATAGAATAAGAAAATATGATGAAATAAAATATAATAAAATACAATAAATTTTAAAAAATATAATATAATATGATTTAATATATAATATATATAAAAAAATAGATATAATATATGTAATATATATAATATATGTAATATATCTAATATATATATAGTATATAAATATGCAAAATATATAGAATTTAGAATATAATATATATATATATAATATAAAATAAATATAATACATAAAAAATATAATATATATATATACAGATATGTTTTAATATATATATATAACATGTAATATATATAAAATATAGGAAATATATTTAATATATATATAATGTATATTATATTTATTATGTATACGATATATATATATATGTATATGTAATATTTAATATATAACAAATATCATAGAAATAATATATATGTACTTTATATAATATATAATATGTAAAACACATATGTAATATAATATATAATAAGAAATAAAATAAACAAAATAAACCATATTATAGTTTATTTTAGTATCATATCACTTTATGTAATACAAAACAAAATAGTATAATTTAATTTGATATGATATGATATGTGATGAAATAATATAATAGGAAATATAAAATATAACCAAAGATAATTTAATATAATACAATATGATATGATATGATATAATTTCATAAGATTTCATAAACTAGGATAAAATATGATACAACATAACATACTACAATATGATATAATATAATATGATATGATATTATATAATAGTATAAATTATAACATAGCATAACA